GATGCAGCTTCCCAACCAGTTAAAGGTGGAAGTGCTTTTGAGAATGTACGAATATCGAGAGTGGGGATTTTATGGAAATGAAATGTACCAAAATAACAGTGACTTTCAAATTCTAATAAAGGATGAAACATATCATTAATGTCATAAAAATAATAAAAACAGAAACAGGACCTATGGCCAGAGCAGCATTTGATGTAAATGCTAAATTTGATGTAACCCTGTGGTAGGGAAAGTCTTAAGCCTGAAGGGGTCAAAAAGCTTTTAGAGCTGGCGAGATGGCTCCCTAGGTAAAAATGCTTGCTGCTGAGGGGGGCAACCTAAGTTTGAGTCTCAGAACCCACTCTTGCAAGCTGACCTCCACACTTGTGCTATGGCATATACCCCCCCACACACACATACACAGAGGGAGGGAGAGAGAGAGAGAGAGAGAGAGAGAGAGAGAGAGAAGAGGGAGAGAGAGGAGAGAAAGGCAAAGGCTTCTGGTGGTCTATGTGAGATGTGAGGACTGTAATGCAAGCTTTGGATTTGAATGGCTTAAGTCTAATTTGGCTACTCTCCAATCGTGATTTTCTCTTTACAGAATGAGAGTGAGAACTTGCATAGCGTTTACTTTGCAAACCCTTGATCTGTGTGTTTAATTTAATTCTCACAATTCTGTAAGTACAATTATATCTATTAAATAGGCAGGGAAACTGGACACTGGGAGCTTAATGATTTGATTAAAGTTACACAGCTAATAAATATCAGAACTGGGATTTGAACCCAGACAATGTGGCTCAAATCTGACTTTATACAATGCTGCCTCTGCCGCCTAGACCTGCTGTGAGATCTAAATGAGATACAGTGAAGAAAAAGCATTTGTATATTTATTTGGCTCATGATAGGCAAGCAATGAATTGCAGCCATTGTTGCTTATATATTTTGGCACAGAGTTTTACACCACAGAAAATAGACCCTGGGAATTTGCATCTACTCCTTTAAGTGCTCATGGGAGTATCTTCTACATCAGCGTGATGCTTGTGTGTTGGGGAATCACTGACTTGACAGGCAACTGGCAATCTCAGCAGCACCTTCATTTACTCTGGACTCTGAAGTGATGCTGCCATCAGCCCTGCTGGCTAGAATTAACCGACATGGGATTAACTAAGGAGGCCAGTCTAGTTTTGAGCGCTTATCATCTGCCTGCCTCTCCTCTCAGGTGTTAGGGCTACACATGTGTGAGCTCCCAGATGAAGCCCTGTTACTGGGGGAAAGTACTGTTATGTGGCGGGGAATAAAGTAAGGAAACATGGTCTTTGGGAAGATGTGCCTAACTACTGTCAGGCACTAGAGATGAGTGATGAGAGCCCAATCTCATGTCTATTGTGAGCACAAGACTGGAAAAGCTTGTTCAGGCCAACTTGCCTCCCTAACAGTTTTATCCTGTTACTATAAATCTTTCTGCCAAAAGCCGCCCAAGTTCTACCGCCACATGGGTGGTCTCTGCCAGCAGCCCGAGTTCTGCCTGCTGCGTGGTTGGACAAATAATACATAGACTTATATTAGGTACAAATGCTGCTTGGTCAATGACTAGGATTCTCATCTGTTAGCTCAGTCTTAATTATCATAAATCTATATATTTTATAAGACTTATAGAGGATACCTTCTGCTGGCGCCCTCTCTTGCCGGTGGCTCACATGGCACTGCTGGAGGATGCGAAGGGGAAAAAGGAATACTTCCTGTTGTCCTTGCTTAAATATGAGTCTCCATGCTATGTAACTTCCTGCCTGGATCACTACTTCTCTACTACATTTCCCAGAATCCTCTTTGACTCCTGGTCCCATCTAACTTGCTGCCTCATTGGCCAAACAGAACTTTATTCAACAATCAATAAGATAAACATACACAGAAGTACATTCCCCATCATCATCCTATAGAAGGTTGGGGAGACTGAGAACAAGTATATCTTAGGGCTTAATTGTGGGTAATTAGATAATGTTTATTTAACAGTGCTTAATAAAAAGAATACATACATACATACATACATACATACATACATACATACATATTTCTCAGTAAGAGTGCTGTTGGTCTCTTGGCAGGATAGACTATCTTGGATATTATAATTAGCATCATTGTGATAGTGTCTCAAATCGCCACTCACTCCCCCAAAACCTCACAGCAACATAAAGCATTTCCAAATGCTTTCTGGCCAACAGCAGTGAAGGCATCATCGTCAGTGTCAAGAACCACTGGAGAGTCCAGAGTAAATGAAGGTGCTGCTGAGATTGCCAGTTGCCTGTCAAGTCAGTGATCCCCAACACACAAGCATCACGCTGATGTAGAAGATACTCCCATGAGCACTCACAGGAGTAGATGCAAATTCCCAGGGCTCTAGTTTAAATAAATTCATGCCTTTCTCCCCTAATTAAGGGAGGACATTGGTGTACACATTGCTTTATAACAGGTACAGCTTTGATTCTGCTCCAATTTAGTTTTGTTTCTTCAAAAGATAAATAAATTATTCCTAAACTTCAGCATTTGTTTAAAATGATAGCTTGTAGGGGGTAAACCCCACATTGGTTGGTTACCTGAAAATGTACATAGTCCCAAGGTCAAGGTATTTAAAATACATTATAAATATATAGAACAGGTTACAGGCTACTATACCCATTTTGTTGTTGGTGGTGTGGGGCTGGGGAAGGAACTCAAAGTCTCATATAGGCTACATAGTACTCTACCCCTGAGCTTCATCCTCAGTAGGAACCATGTTTCCTTCCTTCCTTCCTCCCTCCCTTCCTCCCTCCCTCCCTCCCTCCCTCCCTCCCTCCCTCTCTCTCTCCTTCCCTTCCTTCCTTTTTCCCATTGAGTCCATTATTTATGGTCACCTGTTCCTGAACATGAGACCTGCCTGGAGTGGTTGACATACCTAATGTCATTCTATTAGAGAAGACTGATTTTCCCTCTCTAACGTGTATTAATAACAGTTCAGTTGTTAATTTTTACCCTAGTTTCTTGGTTTCTATTCATTCATTTAAAAATACAACAAAATAAAATATAATGATAAAAATATCACATCAGTGTTGGACAAGTGAAACCAAAAGAAGGAAAAGAGACCAGGAGAAGCTACAAGAATCTGAGACCTATTCATTCACACATTCAGGAATCTCATAAATACACTAAATTGAAAGTCATAAGCACAGAGGACCTGATGCAGACCCGTGCAGGTCCTGTGCATGCTGCTTCAGTCTGTGTCTTCACACTAGGTAACTTTGTAACTTTCCAGCCCTTGGTCTCCACCCCTCCCGTGACGTCATATGGTCCGATCAGCTGACGTCATATGGTCCTACCGAGCTTCAGCCAGTCAGAGAGTAACACTTCTGAGGCGGCGGTTGCCAGCCTATATAAGGGAGGGGTTTTTGGGTGTTCGGAGTCTCTGCTCTCTAAGCTTATGCTCTCCCTCTCAAGACGCATTAAAGCTTTACTGCAGAAGGATCCTGAGTGTGCCGCGTCGTTTTTTGCTGGCGAGACGGTAGCGCGGGACAATGCTGTTAAGACTTTTCAACTCCTCCTCCTCCTCTTCCTCCTTTTTCCTGCTCCTCCTCCTCCTCCTCCTCCTCCTCTTCCTCCTCCTCCTCTTCCTCTTCCTCCTCCTCCTCCTCTCCCTTTCTTTCCTCCTCCTCTTTCTCCTCTCTCCTCCTCCTCCTTTTTTTTGACGTCTCCTTATATAGCCCTGGCTGGCCTGGAACTCACAGAGATCCTCCTGCCTCTGCCTCCCTGCTGCTGGGATTAAAGGCGTGTACCACGTGCCTAGACTTTTCTACATTTCTAGATTTACAAGTGCAAGATTTTTTTCTTGTGAATTTAGTGATGGAACCACTGGCTGTGGGTGTGTGTGATTTACCTGAACAAACACAAATTAATTATATCAATGTAATCATTTTAAGAAATGCTTATGTAGAAGTTGAACATGTTGCTTTATTTAATTAATAGTAGATCCAATGGCCTTGTTTGGAGCAGTCTTATTCCCAAAAGAATGGTTCTGTGGTATGCCATCCTGAGTGTAATCACTTAATTAGAATATTTGTGACTATCCACAAGAAACCCTCCCCACACCGGGGCTTGTGGACATTCTTTCATAGGAGGAGGAGGCAAGAAGGGTAATTGGCCCCTCCCCTGAGATCTCAGCCAGTCCTTCCTTCTCTGTTCCTCCCCATTCTGCCAGATGATGTGGTCTTCAAACTGCTGGAGTGTATAGAGGTTAGAGGTTAATGAAGTGGGGGAGCAGGGTCTGTAGATCAGTGAGGAGGTCATTATCCATGTTGACTGGGACTTTTTGGTGTTGTGGGGGCCACTCACATTCCTGTAAGTAACTTCACACACATCCTCCAGTATGAAAAGTCAGTATACTCATTAGTTCACAAAACTGGACTGGGACAGAATCATTCTTTTTGTCTGTTATTGATGCCCTATCTATTGCGAGCAGACATTTGTTTACGTCTTTCTAGGAGAAGCTCATGCATCAAATGGTGGAGGAGTAGACTTGAATTATAGATTCCTTTGGATGTCCTCCAACCGTTGCTACTTTAGATTAGAGCAGACTCCAGCTTTTCATGTCTGTAATGGCTATGATTTGTCTGGGATCGTTTGGCCATATCTCCCTTTGGAATAAAAAAGTTAGGCTTTGAAACTGCTAAAATAATGACACTATTTCCTCACTCATCCACAAAGCACTTTTATTCCTTTAAGGACACCTATAGATGATTATACCAGTGTTCTCATGTGCTTTGAAATGTAGAATGTGTGACCCTTTGATGGCTGTTTGATATTTTCTTCTGTTTTAGCATTGATAATAATTTTAATGTGAAACTGAAATTTTGTCAGCATTTACACTCTATCCATCCATCCAAATGCATATTTTCAATACATAGTCTATATTATTTGGGGATTGATACAGTTATAAATTTATAGTAAAGCTATGATAGTTAAATTTGCATTTCATTTCTTTCTTTTCCTCACAGTTTCAGAGTCTCCAGCTCAGTCCATAGTCCAGCATCTGAGATGGATAATGCAGAAAGATCTGCTGGGCCAAGACATCTTTCTCATAGGACCTCCTGGGCCTCTTCGGCGCTCTGTTGCCATGCAGTACTTGGTGAGCAATCAATTCTTGGCAGTTCCTAAGGGTCTTAACTTTGATAAAGGATATGATAAAATAAAGGAAAGTGAAGAATTTATAAATATATCAGAATTAGCTGCATTAGGATAAGCACTGTCCTCATGCAATGACTAGTTCATAAAGAGCTCAGCAGAAGTTGCTTTGGAAGACCATGTGCATTGACCTTTCATAACAGAGTGTATGTATGTATGTATGTGTGTGTGTACATCATATATATATATAGAGAGAGCATATACATATATACATGTATATACATATATATATATATATATATATATATATATATATATATATATAT